TGGCTTTAAAATATATATTTATAATATAAAAAACACACTTCATAATATTATAAAAAGAAATTATATCTATGGAGTTCATTTTTATTTTATTTTTTAAGAGCACAGCAAGACGTGTTTTAGAATTAATAGTTTTATATAGAGATTCTATTATTTTAATATTAAAAGTTTATTCTATAAATAAAATTTGAGTTTCATTATCTTAAATCACATCATTTCTCTAAACTCTTTTTATAAAGTTTTCTCACTTCTCTCTAGAGTTTTTAACTTTTTGTTCATCTGTTTGAAGATTGAATTACTAGGGTGATCCTTGAAGTGAGCTCTCCACTTCTATCCAATCAATTTCTTTTATAGAGTAAATTGATTTTCTGTCATTTTTCTTAGTATGTACATTCTTCCTATGCATATGGATCATCTAGGTTTGCATTGTTGTTTGGCTTTCTTTAAGAATATATGATTGCCAGTGGTCCTAATGGTTTGCTATGATCATGTTTGTGTTGTTCATAGGAGTCGACACAATTCTGAGGGTTTAAAAGTGTTTTAGGGATTATTGAGTGGTTTGGTTGTCTCTCAAATAAATGAAGCTAATTGTCTTATTTTAAAGTTATAAATGCTTTGAGAATGATAATTTGCATGTTTGATTTCTCTAAAATTGGTTGATTTGTTGATGTTGGTTGTTTTAAGTGTTGTCTTGTTGAATTAGTTATGTTGAGTCATGGGGAAATGAAAACCTGATTAATTGAGCCAATTAGTATGTGTCCTGACATTAAAAATTATTTTTGACCCAAGTAATAAGAATAAAATATCGATTTGATTAGTTGAATAGGTTCCACTTTCACAAATCACTGAATTTTCTTCTATTGATATCTGATATAACGCTGAGCAGTAGCAAGCTGGCGCTAAGCGCTAATTCATTGTGTAAGTTTGGGAGCATTTTAGCTTTAGATTGTTGAATTCCAGACTCATATCGTTGAGCATGAGAAAATGCGAATGTTTTGTCACTAGGCGGTGACAGGGCACCACTGAGCGCCACTTTTCATTATAGATTTGGAACAAGCAAGAATACAAAGAATGACAGGGCACCACTAAGCGCCACATCTAGTCTTCTTCAACAATCTTAGTTGAAGGATATCACTATAATGATTGAGTTACATGCAAGAATACAAAGAATACCTCTCAATGCACTCTCCTTCCCCACTCAAAATCAATTACAGTAAACAAGAGGTGAACACCCTTACACTCTCACAACCTAGAAAGCAATCCCAACTTTCTGTAACCTTAGAGCAATTCCACTCTCTAAGAAAACCTTTTGAGAGATCCCAACTCTCAAATGAGAACGCACACAGTTCTCTCCTCTGGCACAAACGCACAAAAACTCAATCTACAGATTGAAAAAGATAAACTTGATCTTCACACTAGACACTCAAATAGTGCATATATGATTAGCAACCTTTAAGCAAACTTCTTGATAGAATCTTGATGTATAAACCCAAAGTTGATCCTTGATTCTTCAAGACGGTTCTTGGACACTTTCTGCAATCAAACTCAATCAAAATATCAATTATGAAATTGAATGTTCAGATATTAGTTTGAAACCGCGTGCAAGACAATTATTTATAGGATTTTTTAAATCCTGATGCAATTTAATCGACTACGCTATTAATGTAATCGACTACGTTTTTCCTACTAGTTTAGCAGTTTTTAACAGCATTTCGAAATTCAACTTTTAACCAATTTAATGGCGCATGCAATCAATTAAACAATTCTTAACAGCCAAAAATAAATGCAATATGAGCGTTATAACTGTATTGACTTGAAAGAAATTAAATTCATCATATGAGAATGACTTAACTGATTATACAACTTATGTAATCAGTTATGTCCAACACTTACGCAAAATTTCAATTTCAACTTTATTTTTCAGATTTTCATTGTTTTGAAAACACGTACCATATTTTCACTCTTTTGAAAACATGTATTGGCTAACTTTCTTACTTAATCAGTTATACACATTGTATACCAAATTATGTTAGAATAGTTTGTCTCCAATAAATGATATAAGAAATCTAAACAATTTAACAGACAGATTACATGGATTGCTTAACAGATTAAATTATACCAAAAATACATTTTCAATCTGTTTAACCATGTAAACCTTTTTCCAATCATTAATACATGTATCAAGCACACACATCAATAATATCAAACATTTGTAATGTCATTTTGTGCAAGATAACTATAAAACATATCCTTAATGTCCATCAACAAAAATGTCCATTATACAATGTTCATCATCATGTACATCATCAAAAACAACATATTTTTCCAATCATTAACGCTCGTCCGAAGCACACACATCAATAATATCAAACATTTGTAATGTCATTTTGTGCAAGATAACTATAAAACATATCCTTAATGTCCATCAACAAAAATGTCCATTATACAATGTTCATCATCATGTACATCATCAAAAACAACATATTTTTCCAATCATTAATACATGTATCAAGCACACACATCAATAATATCAAACATTTGTAATGTCATTTTGTGCAAGATAACTATAAAACATATCCTTAATGTCCATCAACAAAAATGTCCATTATACAATGTTCATCATCATGTACATCATCAAAAACAACATATTCAAAGATTCATTCTTAAACAATGAATATGCATATCTTCACAGATATAATCACAATGAATATGCATAACATATAGTTCAAACACAAGCAAATATATAAACACAACTTTGCATAATGTGTGCAAGAAACAATTAAAACATTTCTGTTGTTATCATGGAAACATATATGTGTTGTCATCATAAAAAACCAAACACATAAGGGATTGAGTTTAGCATTCACATTGCTCCCCCTATCAACAATCTCCCCTTTTTTTGATGATGCACAACCATGATGTACAACCAGAAATTGTTTTATCAAGGTTTAATCATTCGCGAGGTCCTTATTTGGGGTGAGAATCTCAAATCAGTCCTTTTCTTTTCTAGCGTCTCAATTGGGTCCTTATTTTGTGAAAATTGCAATTGGGTCCTTACTATTGCAATTTTCACAAAATAAGGACCCAATTGAGACGCTAGAAAAGAAAAGGACCAATTTGAGATTCCTACCCTAAATAAGGACTTCACAAATGATTAAACCTTTTATCAATTATTTTCAGTTTTACCAATTTCTAATATCAATAATTCTCCCCTTTTCACTAGCATCACTACTTTCTCCCCCTTTGGGCATTAGCAAAAAAGGTATCATGAATTAGAAACAGAATAGCATTCAGAGATACATCAATATGTAAATACATTGATTAAACGACTTTATCAATACACTAATTAAATGAATCTAGCAACATACACTACACGAGTATGTTTATATACTAATTAAACATGTCTATCCGTATATATTAGACAAATTTGTTCATACACAAATTAGACGAGTCTACTAATACACATTAAACGAGTTTGTCCACTCATTGATTAAATGAGTCTTGCAATACACATTACACGAGTCTAAATATATATATTGATTATATGAGTCTAATAATACAAATTATATGATCATGTCCATATACTAGTTAGACAAGTTTAACAATACATATTAAACGAACTTGTCGATGTATTAATTAAATGAGTTTAACAATACACATCAGACAAATCTTTCCATACATTAATTAGATTAATATAAAAAAAATATATGAGCTTAACTGTACACATTGGACAACATTGTCCGTACACTAATTAGACAAGTAACAAAAATTATTAAACAAGTCATTCCATACGTTGATTAGACGAGTATAACAAAAATTATTAGAGAAATCGGGAATACATTGATCAAATGAGTAAGTAAGAAATCATTAGACGAGTGTGTCGGTGTATTGATTAAATGAGTCTAATAATACACATTAGACAAGTCATTCATATATTGATTAGATGACTCTAGCAATATACATTAGAAAAACCTTTCCATACATAAATTTTATGAGTCTAATAATACATATTAAATAAGTATGTTCATTTACTAGTTAAAAGAATATTGTAATACACGTTAGACGAGTATGTTCATACACTAATTAGATGAGTATAGTGAAAAACATTAGACAGTTCTAACCGTACATATTAGATGAGTTTGTTCATACACTTGTTAGACAAGTAGAACAAAAAATATTAAATAAGTCATTCAATACATTGATTATATGAGTCTAACAATACACATTAGACGAATATGTTCATACACTGATCAGACAGATCTTGTAACACACATTAGATGAGTTTGTCCATATATTGGTTACACAAGTCTAACATTAAACAAGTTTTTTCATACTTGATGAGGTTGTCTATATACCTTTTAAAAGAGTGTGTCCATATACTAGTTAGACGAGTTTAATAACACATATTAAATGAATTTGTCAATGCACTAATTAGACGAGTGTAACAATAGATATTATATTAGTTTGTTCATACATTGATTTAGATTTTTATCAAATCTACATTACATATCTTTTATACTTTTAAAAAATCTACTCTATATTTTTGCATATAATTTATGTTTTGTATTTTTATAAAGTTTGCTAGTTATATTTTTACATACATATTTACTTTCTAAATCTATAAATTAATTTTTATATTAATTCTATTAAAAAATTTAATTATAAAAGTTGAAATATTTATTACTTCTTTCTTTAATCTCTAAATCTTTTAATAAACGTAAAAACAAATATAACACAACCTATTTTTCTCTAAAAAACACAATATGATTTTGTAATTGGTCTAAAATTACTCTACAATCAATAATAATAATAATAATAATAATATAACATAAATTAATTATAAAATTACACATAAATATTGTTAAAATATTATAAAAAATGTTGTAAAAAATATATATGTCTAAACCGAAGTTTGATCCCAAATATTCCGTGATATTCTTCCTATTCGACACTATCTGAACTAAAGTGAGTGGACTTGTTTAAGAATTTTCTTAAAAGAAAAGGATAATTTGGGAAAACAATTTCTACACAAAACGATGATTCTCGAAGTGTGATATATGTTCGGTGGTATCATCGAAGAACACGTTCATTTCTCTTCTTCCAAGTCCCGTCCCCATCTCAAACAGTTGGTACGCAGCACCACTTTCTCGTGTTTTTCTCTCTCTAGATTTCTCTCTCACTCTCTCACGAGATTTTCTCGCAGAAGAGAATCCAGCACGATGCAGTACAGGAACCTTGGGCGATCGGGGCTGAAGGTGAGCCAGTTGTCATACGGGGCGTGGGTGAGCTTCGGGAACCAGTTGGACGTGAAGGAGGCGAAGGCGTTGCTCCAGTGCTGCCGCGACCACGGCGTCAACTTCTTCGACAATGCCGAGGTCTACGCCAATGGCCGCGCCGAGGAGATCATGGGGCAGGCGATCCGGGAGCTCGGTTGGAAGCGCTCCGACGTCGTCATTTCGACCAAGATCTTCTGGGGCGGTCAGGGCCCCAACGACAAGGGCCTCTCGCGTAAGCACATAGTGGAGGGCACCAAAGCCTCGCTCAAGCGCCTCGACATGGACTACGTCGACGTTATCTACTGCCACCGCCCCGACATCTCCACGCCAATCGAGGAAACCGTGCGGGCCATGAACCACGTCATTGACAAAGGCTGGGCTTTCTACTGGGGCACCAGTGAGTGGTCGGCCCAGCAGATCACTGAGGCCTGGGCTGTGGCCCAGAGACTCGACCTCGTCGGGCCTATTGTTGAACAGCCTGAGTATAACCTCTTGGCCAGGCACAAGGTTCTTACTCCATTCCTCTCTACCTAGTGACATACTAATTGTTTTTGTACTTATCTTATTGCATGATTCAACTTCTCTGAATAAGCACTTACGCGGGACGGAAAAAAGTGAATTATACTGTTTCTTTTCGATGTGTTGAAGTCCGATTTGGTTTTATAAGCGGTTGATAATAATTTGAAACAGGAAAATAGTGAAAGGTTCAGCATAAACTATGATTAAAAAAATATTAAAGGCTGATGCAGATAGTTGAGAGTTGAAATTTCCTCATTGGTCGGATAGATCAGGGGAATAATAGCATCTTTTGAGAAGAAATCACTCACAAACCTAACAAAAAACAAGTGGTTAAGGCTGAAGCATTTACAAAATCCAATGGCTCACAGTTATTTAACTGCACGATGCTTTTGGTGTTTTAGCATCACTGAATCCTCTCTCATAATGCATGAGTTGAGAAGGAAAAATTTGTTGTTTATGGAGTAAAAGTATTTTTTTTTGTTATGTTTAACTTTGTTATTGGTATTAAGGTGTTCTAGGAGTTTGTTAGATATTGTATTGTAGTATTTCTTTTTTTGTTTCATTACTCTTTTTTATTTGGTTCTGTTTATTTGATTGACCTGATTTGACTGTATAATGGTGTAGGTTGAGTCTGAGTATCTTCCTCTGTACACCAACTATGGCATAGGCCTCACTACATGGAGTCCTCTTGCCTCTGGAGTGCTCACTGGGAAATATAAGAAAGGAGCTATACCGCCAGATAGCAGATTTTCTTTGGAAAATTACAAAGTACTTTTCCATTTGATGAAATCATTAACAATCCTCATTTTAGTTGATTCTATCTGGCATTTACTTTAGTGTTTTTTAGACAAGAAATGATTTTATAAAGTTTAGGACTATGGTTATTTTGTGCTTACAATCTTGGTACTGGATCTGGGATTTTTTTGTTTAATTTTTATTGACTATTTTGGCTTTTGTCTAAGTACGTTTCGTGTGGTTCTTTTTGTAGAATCTGGCATCGCGATCACTGGTTGATGATGTGCTTAAGAAGGTTGATGGATTACAGCCAATTGCGGATAAGCTTGGTGTTCCACTGTCACAACTTGCGATTGCGTGGTGTGCTGCTAATCCTAATGTTTCTTCTGTTATCTGTGGTGCTACAAAGGAGTCTCAGGTTAGTTCTTTTAGCGGTTTAACGAGATATTCAGTTTATCTATTGTTGAAATGTTTATTGTAATTTGTTGAAATGTTGTTCGGTTGTCAATTCCTATGACCTAGCAAAGTGAATTTTGTTCTTGATAAGTTCTGAGATGAAATGGTAAGTGATTGTTCTTGTTTTGGTTATGTGTGGAGAGATTTTTTGGTGCCTGTTCTTTTTTATTAAGTCTGGTGTTAGTGTGGTAAGATTGTTATTATGAAACTTCGCCTAGGACCAACTAAAACACCTAGAAATGGAAGTCTTATTCTCGCAACCCTTAAAAGAAATCAGACACTTTTGCTGACATAGCCCGTCCTAAATTAACACTTTTTTAAGAAAATAATTTCCCAAGATGATATTCCGATCAGGTTTGGCCGTTAGAAAAAGCTTAGAAAGATATCTCTAATTAATAGAATCATAATTAACCATATCCCAATTGATAAAAGGAAAAAATACTGAGATCACTAATTGATATTGTCATAACATTTAAACTATAGGAAAGATAGAGATAGAGCTGAAACCATGTGTTTTTGAGACAAAAAAAAAAATGATTTAATTATAAAGAGAAAAAATAAACAATAAAAGTACAATAAAAAGAGGAGATTTGATATCCTTTAATAGTAAAGATTTGAGAAGGGAGTAAATAAAGACATTCTTAATAATACATATATAATCTAGTTATTCTTGATTACATAGGACATACTCCTTATTTTTGTAATTATGACACTTACTCTCAAGTTGGAGCATACAAGTCATGTGCTCAATTTTCGGCAATCTATCTCTGTGTTTGTCCTCGCATGAAAGACATTATTATTAAAGGTAATGTGTAATGCAGTATATAAGGTGCATTTGGGAACCTTTTTCAATTTTAATCTCTTTGTGGAGTCGGTTTATTCATATGAGCTTACAAGTGACTAATATTAATGAATTCTATTGTAACTATGAGCTTTTATTTTAAGGATTACAAGATTTATGGACTGAATTAAATGGGAAAAGGAGGATAAAATGTCTAAATGGCTGCATTTAGTGTGGAAATACGGAGCTTCTGTACTCAGAAGTATAGTATAGCTCATAGAAAGAACCATCTGAAATGTGATGGTTTCCTGAAGGCACACAGCTGAATGGTTTACATGTGGACAAACTTACACAGTCAATCTCAGGATGCACTGTTTAGTTTACATTGATTGAGCAAAGAAGATATAAACAAAACCGATGTATCCTGTAGTAGCAGAAGAAAAAGAAATACTCCTTTAACCATATGCATAATGTATATTCGTAACTTTAGAAATTATTTTTTCGTAATAAAGAGGATTGAAAAATATATTGTACATATAGTTGAGCAATGAAATAATTGCTTAAACATCCCTGTGTGTGCACAGTTATAACTCGCCTGCGAGAATGAACTTTACCACTCCATTTTCATATTTTTTCTGTTTCCTGTTTTTTATTCAACTCGTAAGAGAGCATGAAAAGAATTGATGTCATTCTTAGTTTGAGATATAACTTGCAAGAAGGAACATTGCTTTTGTAATATTATCTTATTTTTTTGATTTCTTTTGCTCAGATTCAAGAGAACATGAAAGCAATCGATGTCATTCCATTATTGACTCCTGTTGTGATGGAGAAGATTGAAGCTGTTGTTCAAAGCAAGCCAAAGCGCCCTGACTCGTACCGATAAATATGCATTAGTTGGAATACTCTCCTTCATCCCTGGGCCTGGAATGGAAATTCATGTTGAAATTGTATTGGTTTGGTTGATGTGATTTCCTCTTAAAAGACTTTATTTGTGTCTTATATTTTCCTTGTGGAACTGAATATGCCTTCTTTTTTATGGGTTCAAACATTCCAAATTGATTTTGGAAACAAAGCATTAAGATCTTGGAGTTTAGGCTTACGTTTGCCTTCCGAATTAAATGTGATACTATTATTTGTGGCACTACGATTTGGATTTTGAGAGTCCAGTTGCATATGTGGATCCCTTATCATGTAGTTAATGTCTACCTCGTGGAATAAGGCTTGGTTAATTAGTTATTTTGACAACGGCGTAAATTCACTTCATTCCGGCATTTGAAATATGGGTGGATACCTGTTTTGGTGAAGAACATGGTGGGTGTCAAAAGGATTTTTATGCTGTTTTAGGTTTATTATAGGTTTAAATCTTTACTTCGTTTCATTTTAAGGGAGAAATTTTTGTTTAGTATCTGATTTTAAAAGTGTGGACATTATTAGGTTCCAAAGTTATCAAAATTGTATGAATTGAGTTTTTTCCGTTAAATGGGTAATAACGAAGTTAACTTCCCGTTAAATGGGCAAAGAAATCTACATTTTTTCTTCTCTTTTCTACCTTTTTCTTAAATGTCCCAGTTTTTTTTTTATATTTTTATTAAATGATTTTCCTACAAAACCTACCACCATTATCAACTTAGAAAACGCTTTCATGTTACTGCACGCAAATAAGCTAATCAATCAACACACTTCATTCAAATAAGTTAATCAACCAACACATACTTCATTCAAATAAGCTAATCAACCAACACACACTTCATTCAAATAAGCTAATCAACCAACACACACTTCATTCAAATAAGCTAATCAGCCAACACACACTTCATGCAAATAAGCTAATCACCCAACACACACTTCATGGCAATAACAACAACATAACTAATAAAACTGTGTTGAAATATATCCTTTAAGACTATTTTTCTGCAAAATACTTCAGCATCACATAGAATAAGGTTGAAACCATCAAATGAATGTTGATTCTATGCTGGTAAAATATACATTGGCATATTCACAAACACATAGAGTAGAGTGCAGGTTATTTGCCCCCACTTTGTCCCATTTGACTAGGTATCCAACACAACTAAACCATACAAGAAAAAGCAAATTACAAAATTACAGAGTATTTATTTGACCAAAAACTGTGTATTTTGTTTAAATCATATCAAAAATCACGATTTTAAAAAGAATTATCGTAGACTTTTTTACCATTATAATGTAATTTTATGATGAAACTATAAAAACAGTGTAATTAAAAACAATAACTTTAAGTAAATTATGACAAATAACACGACTTTAAAATGAATAAATTGTATTATACTGAAACAATTTCATCGAATGAACGTGTCATAATAAAACTTTTTTAAGACTTAGTTTTATTTTATAAAACTTGCACTATTCTTATAATTTCATAATAAAATTTTATAAGAAACTTCATTATGGTATTTTAAAAATTAAATATGTCTTCACATTTTGCAAATCGTTAATAAAGCCGAATGTGTAAATTATGTGAAGAAAAATAGTGGTATATGCTTTTCACTACACTTAATTTCATATTAATGGTTTATATAGCCGCAAATACTATGAGTTTGTTTTAAAAAAAGAAAATTTCAACAATAAAATATTAAAAGTTAAAAATAATTACAACCTTACATATGTATCAATTGACACTTTGTTATCTTTAAAAAAAGTTTCAATACGGAGGATTCTATATTATACGCAAACATGTTAAATCTTCAAAGAAAGAATTTTATCGCTTGTTATTTTATTAACTTGTTCATATGCTGATAAAGAATATTTAAATTGATTAGTATAGATTTATATTTGACTTTTTTATAATTAAGTACTAGGATGTGAATATATACTTATTCACTTATTCTATTTTATGTTATTAAAGAATTTTAGTTTATTTAATATTTCATTTAAAATTTACGTAATTATAATTTTTTTTAATTTAAGCATTGAAGAAAAGAAAATATTATATTTTTGTTACTATTACATTTTTTATAATATAATATTTTTTTATTTTCAATAATAAAACATTAATAAATATTAGATAGATATGGGATACAATTTAATGTCATATTAAAAGATGATATATATATATAT